CGGCTAGTTATTTATATGTTTTTGAATTGTGCTACGTTAATTTGTAAAAGTTATGAATGAAATGTCATTAGTTGTATTTACGTAGTGTTGCTGTAAATATTAAAAAATTTAATTATGGTACGGAACCGAACCGACCCGAACCGAACGGAATCGAACCCGAACGGTTCCATAATTATATTTGGACCCGACGGGTCCATTTATTAAATACCCGAAAGTTTTGGATCGATTCGAGTCTCTTCAGAACCGAATCGAATCGACCAACGGATAGCCCTAGTTTTTTACATGGAATTCTATAACTTTGAAATCACTTGATATAAAAGTCTAGGGCAATGATCTATTAGTCCCCATATCTAGTGACAGAACAAGCATCCGGCGAATCATGAAGGTAGGCCGTATTGACTCCACTGACTTTCTATATATATATATATATTGGACGGTCGCCGGTCGTTAAACGTCCGTCCAAGCTTAGATTTATGTCAAATTTGTCATTGTTCATTTCTCAATAAGTTTAAAATGATAATGTAAAAGGTAAATGAATAACATCAAGGAGTGATGTATTTAAGCCTCAAACAAAAACCGTACTTTAATTTAATTGGGACTCGATCAATTCAATTTCGGTAGAACTCTTCATATATCATGAGAACTAGTTTAATTTGAGATCTTATTTATTAATTGAATTGGAGTAACCCCTTGTTTGGTACAGCTTAAAATCTTGTTACAAATTTAAGCTAAAGTGAATAATTAATTTTAAATATTTATAATTTTTAAACCACATATTTTATGAACTTTTATCGAAATTTATTAAAAATCTATTTTTTTATTTATAACAAACAGGGACTAAGTAAATTTCCTTTTCAATTAGAACGTGCTTATTTACTTCCACTTCAATCCTATAATTAAAGAATTATATCACTTTAGCAACACCTGTCTTTAAACAAAACTTTATATGATAAATTAATTGACAAAAACCTGCATTCTTATCCTCATTGATAATACAATATATCATAACAGGGTTGCGTGATTCACGTGAAGTTTCAGCTGTGCTTTTAATTATCAATCGTGAAAAAAAAATATTGACATGGAATTTAGCCCATGTTTAATTTAAATAAAAATTAACTTTTAATAAATAATGATACAACGAGAAGGTTATTCCTCGATTAATGGGGAAACGTGACGGGTACGAATAGTGGTGGCAAAAAAGCTCGGAGGCTCAGGCCGAGCTCCACTTTAGGGAGTCAGCTCGAGCCTGGGCCGGCCAGTGGCCCGGGCGAGCCTCCTATTTATAAAAATAAATAAATAAATAAAATTTGAAGGTGGCAGCTAAGAAAAAAACCAAAAAATCCGAGCCTCATTTTTTTTGGTCCGGCTCGACTCGGACCAAAAAAAACTCGGTCCAAAAAAGTTCGGGCTCGGCTCGTTGACATCGCTAAGTACGAGGCTAAAATGGCAACCCCTATATAAGTAAATTTATTTTTATAAAATTTTATATATTAACAGAACCATAAGGCCATCTCCAGTGCTGCACTAAATTTTGCACCATTTTGCACCAAATCTTACACCAAACTAAAATTTATCTCCAAAAGTTACATCAAATGAACAATATTTAATCATTTTCGTGTCTTTTTTTCTTAGTAATTTATTTATTCGAAATATTATTTATTTTATAAATACATATATTATTAAATAAATAATTATGTTAAATTAAAGAAAATATTAAATTCATTAATAAATATAGTATTAAAACATAGTACAATTAGTAGAATCACTTCAAAATGAAAAGTATTATATCATGTCATTACAAAATAGTGCAGTGTATTTCGAATTTGAATATTATGATATTATGAAGTCGAAATATCATTGCAATTTAATTCTTGGAATTCATATGTTCTTCCCACAAATGATATATTAATGCATTTCGAAGTGCAATATAAGTCTCTTTATCCTTGATTTGTCTATGAAGAGCAAGAAATTCTTGAAAACGATGATTTTCGTCTTCAATCAACTCAACTTCCGGACTTGACGCTTCCGTCCATTCTCGAACTGGTGCATCAACATTACGTTCGTCCTCGATAATCATGTTATGCATGATTATACAT